CCATCAAGTTGTGGTATAGCTTTCGATTCAAGATTTGGATCTTTCAAGACATTTAGGGTTTCGGGTTGTCGAGATTGAGAAGTCAAGAGGGCATAGGGCTCTCGAACTGAAGCCGCAGAGCTTATTATGGCTTCCGGTCCAGAGTTTGCAAGTTTCCGCATCAAAGCCCCAGACATAAACCCTGAAGTTTCGTGGCTTGGGGTTCAGCCGTTTAGCTGAGGTCTGGAGCTTGAGCTTTATAAGAGCATGGCAGTAGAACTTGAACAAATGTTTGGGTCATCCAACCGGCTTTCTAATCCCGAAGTTTAAGACTGCAACACTGGTGAAGAACAACAGGATGGAGTAGTGGTCGCCGTCGTAACAGTAGTAGTTGTACTCAAGTTGAAAAGAATACCATTAAAGTTTGAGCGGAGCGCTGTTCTCTGTAAACCCTCCAGAGAGTGGTAGTGAAAGTTCGATGGAAAACCGGATGTCGGTTTAGGGTTTAGGGTTTAGGGTTCAGTTTTTAGGGTTTAGGGTGTAGGGTTTAGGGTCAGCCCCGGACTGAGAGCCTTAAGCCTCCAAAGAACCCACCTTCTCAGGGACTTTTATAAGGAAATCACAATAAGGAACCCTACAAAGGGAGATTCATAAGGGGTTAGGGTTTATAGGGGTTTAGGGTTCAGCGGTAAGGCATGCAACGTCTGTAGGGCTACAACCAGGTCCAGCATCTTTCAAGAGGGAGTCGGTGGGCCTCACAAGCTCCTCATGCCCTCTGCTATTATGGCCGAAACACCAAAGCCCAAAACCCTGAGCTTACGGCATTTAATTTAGGGACCCTAAACCCTAAAACCTAAACCCTAACCCCTAAACCCTAAACCGTAAACCCTAAACCCTAAACCCTACCGCTTCATCGTTTCGCAGGCGGCCTCTGAGTGACTTCTGGTCAGGGATCCTGCTGGGGACCATGTTAGGACCCGGCAGTTGCGCATAGCTGAGAGTTCAGGGCTCGGGACGTCATTGTGCAGGGACATAGTCATCCCTAACCCCCCCGGGTACCTACTATAGGGTACTAGAGCCCCTAGGGCCCTATATAGTAGGTACCTGGAGGGTTAGGGCATAATAAAGAGCATTAATTGCGGAAGAGCGCAGAAGCGTGCCGGATGTTGCAGGATTTCAGTACCGCAATCAAAGAGAAGGGCATGCGAGAGACAACGCGTACAGTTGTCAGAATACACCAGAATGATTAGACAAAGTCATCTGTGAATGCACCAGAACATGTCGATTCGCACGCTACCTTGTCGGCTACTGCTTGCTTATGATCAACCTGTGACAGATGAATCCTGTCGTGTCTTTGCAAAATACCGCAGCCTGATCGGCTATGAAGCCTAGAGCGAATGGTATTTTGAGTTCATTGTTCTTTTCACGTCGACACGTACCCTAAAAGAACCAGAAATGTGGCTTGTGCGCGCAAGAAGCCCGCTTTACGAACAGCGGAAACTATGCTAACGACAGTATTGAGGATCAGCAGCATCTTTGCGAGGACTTTGGGTGGGCATCAACTACGGGGAGACGATGAAATCTGCTTGGGATACGCTGGAGATGGTGTGCCCCCTCACAGGGGAACTTGCAAACCATGCCCTGACATGTGTTTCTGAGAGACCCTATAATAAGGCTCCATGTGCCCATATAGTATGTGTACTTATACATAAGCCTTAAAGGCATGCCTGCAGAGTTACTTGAAGCCCTAAGCATATACCCTAAACCCTAAACCCTAAACTGTAAACCCCAAACCCTCAAGGTACAAGGAGCCTAAGGTTCCAATGGTAGTAGCTGGCATGCTTCATGTACCGCTGAAGACTTCCACCTTCTGCAAACTTCTGAAACTGCATCTCTGTGTGAACGGGGTTTCTTGGGGTGACCTAACCCCTAAACCCTAAACCCTGAACCCCTAAACCCCTAGACCCTAATCCGATGCAGGGAAACCATGTTGAAAGCTTCGAGCCCCTTGAACCCTCCAGGGAGCTCTTCGATGAACTGCATGTCTCCCTGTGGCATCCCGGGCCAGACCGCTCAAGACTGCCGCTTTTGGGGGGCTAATGACGTCTGCGATCCGTCGCTTCCCACTGCTAAGATGTCTTCATGGCAGTTTAATCTTCTGTTCTAGTCCACTATACTATGTTATACCATATTCTAGTTTACTATACTATATTATATGGTTCTATGCGAAGCCATCCGCCCAGATCCTTTGGGGTGTGTTGGATTCAAACTCAGAGCATTTCCGAAGACATCTGGGGGTTTCCGAAAAGAGGGGGTACCTTATTTTGGGGGTCCTTTTTAGTAGGGATCCTACTATTTGGGGTACTATACTGGGTTCTTGTTAAGGGATTTAATTTAAGTTACCATAATAGGGAAACCATATTATTTACTATAGATCCCTATTATGGTAGCTTAAATTAAATCCCTTAACAAGAACCCAGTATATTAGGGTCCCCTTTTTTGGGAAACGCCCCATCTCCACGATCAAGCCCAAAGTCATGGCGATGAGCAGCGCAGCACTGCAGCATGCTGGAAGGACAGTTTAGGGTTTAGGGTTCAGGGTTTAGGGTTCAGGGTTTAGGGTTTAGGGTTCTGGAAGGACAGGTGCTCACATGGGGGTTTCCGAAAGGAAGGGGTACCTTTATTTTTGGGGTCCTTATACTAAGGATCCTACTGTTTAGGTTACTATATTAAGGTGCTCACATCTGGGAGCTTCCGAGAATTAGGCGTACCTTTATTTTTGGGGTCACTACAATAAGGATCCTACTATTTAGGGTGCTATATTAGAGTCCCCTATTTTCGGAAACCCACATCTCCTTGTCACGTGCGGAGGTTGACTGTTTTGAGAGAGGTTTTAGCAGAGGCATGTGGAGCATCTTACATGTCTGACTGCCGTTTGTGCAGATCTAGGCGTATCTGCGCACCCGGTTCCTATCATGAACAGTTCGTTGCTTCGTGTACTTCATATGTGTCTAGAGGCGTGTGTAGACTTCAACACTATGTGTGCTAGTTACGTACGTATGTATGTATGCCTGCATGTATGCATGTATGCATGTTGTATGTGGCAATATTTAAATACTGAGCATAAATAAAGACAAATAACCATACAGAAATCAAGATAGGTAGTATGTGCATGTGTATGAGGAGAATTCTGTTTCTTACGAACAGAAGAAGCTTTTTGATATCCCGAAAGCTTTTAAACCGAGGCCCTGGGCGCTGTGAGCCTTAAAACCCTAAACTGCCCTCAACCATAAAGCTTAGCTGAAGCGGGCTCTCCGTGGTTATTCTCATGATTCAGAGCCAAACAGGCAGACCCTGAAGGCCAAAGCAGTAGCAGAGTCTGGTTTGGATTTCGGGCGTTGTCTACTTGTCACTATGTTTGTTGTGTGGAAGAGGGCATGGGGTACAGGAGCACTGCAAGTACCCATGTTTTCTGCACCTAGATGAAAACTTCAAGAAATGGACGACTTTAGACATGCCTGCAGCTCTCCAGAAATACAAATAATGTGTATCGATGTGTAGGTTCTTAATTAAATTAGTTACTATGTCTCTATTCACAATTTATGTTTAGAAAGTTTACGTGTTTAACTCTGTATTCTTACTACATGTGTTTATTTACTGACTTGTGGTTTATACTGACTTGTTTATATACTTAGACATGCATTCATATTTACATACATGCATGCATACGTACATACATATCTTGTTTGAAGTACTGTTGTTCATCTACAGGGATATCCTTCGAAATACAGACGCTGAGAACGGATAGGTCTGTACACTCGCACATGTTTGTGTCTCTGGTGTGCATGTATCGTTGGACACGAAATGCATCCTTACCAGAGCCTTACTGGGGGGAGTCGGCACGGTCGACTTGCTAATCAGGACCTTGTTGCCCTTGGCCTCGCGTGCGCAGTCCGCATCTTAATCTCCTGCGCTGCGCAATCGAGACGCACGATATCAACCCGGACATGCAACCCCTACCCCTTAAAGCGCAATCCACTCCAAGTGCAGCCCAAGTACGAGCAAAGTTGGAAAGAATGCCCTGAAGAGAAGAGTTGACATCGCAGCCATTTTTGTGTTTCTGCCGCCCTCCTTGCGGATTCCTCGGCCTGGCAGCCACCATGAGTGCCTCATCTATGAAGCTGGCATCAAGTGGGTCATTCTCTACATTAGGGTCACTTTTGGGGTCCTTATTTATAAGGGTGCCGTACTTTGTTGGGGACCTAAAAAGGGACCTTAACTCAGAGAACTACCCAAGTACATGAGTGGTTCAAACCCTGCTTTTGGGAGCATGTGTGCGTCCCGATATTCACGCTGGCCACATGCAGCTGCAGGACAAGCAGTACTCTGGGGTTTACTGAAGGAACCCAAGAACTGCATAGTACAAAAGGCCCCTCGAGCTGCTAGGTGCTAGCAGGAGCATCAGCACCGAGATAGTAGACCCACCGACACCAACAATACATCTAGCAGTCTAGCTTGTCCATTGTCAGCTGTGCTTTGCACCCGGATAGCAGGAAGACTACAGGACTTTACAGAAAGTGGATCATGTTGAGCAGCTCTGCCAGTGTCAAGTTGCCAAAAATGCTTGCCATGCGGGACACGGAAAGCGTACAAAGAGCAAGCAATCTTGTACGGAGATGAGCATACGAAGCATTTCACCTTCGATAATGATCCTGGCCATGATGTGAATGCCACAAATGGCCCCAGCCTCATAGCATTAGTTGAATGGCAGCGCTGATGGCAAGGACTCATGTTACCTTTTCTATCGGTTGATAGCGTTCCGTCACGCACGGGCCAATGCTGCTTTGAAAGCGTGTGCCAACAATCAGCATAGTTTCGTAGATGATAGAAATTTGAACAGTTACTATTAGTTACTAGTATCATTCCTTAGGGTTCCGTGTTACATCTGTACCCCACTATCCCCAAGCTCTACTCCAACTACTGATTAAGCCCCCTCTCTGCCCTCTCTGAAGCTTGACAAGGTTGTGGTGATGCTCACCCGTTCGTGTGCACCAAACTGCCGCCGGCAAGTGCGCTGGAATGCCTGCCACAGCCTGCGCTGACCGGCTCCTCGCATCAGTCACTATAGGCCGATGGGGATCCACGGACCCACAGGATAAGTATCAGGAAGTAAGTGATGACTACACATTTTTTTTTTTGGGGGGGGGGTGGGGGGCGTATGTTCTATTGACACTGCAGAAGAGTTTACTGGTTTGCCGATCGCCAGGGACTGGCAGAGTCGGGGCACCGCGTGCAGGCAACAGTCATTTTTTTACAAAATGAGACTCTCAAAATGAGACTGACTGAACGACACGCCTTATGTGTCCCAGGATAGAAATGGTCAGAAGCTGTCCTCAAGCAGCATGTACCAAGATGTTGGTGGATTGCTACTGCAATGCACTCACATAGTTTTGTACCGCCTCACCATGTATGACCCGATAGAGTGCTGTCTGTCTCTTCTGGCGCGGACTAGGGATGTGCATCGGCATCACCTTCTAGCAAGAGTCGATCAGCAAAAAGCCAGTCCCATTTTGCGCCCAGAAGCTCCGCGGTGATGGTGACCTGCACGGGATGCCAATGACTTCAAGCGCCATCTTCTAAACCTACGCTGCCTGAACATCCCAGCACGCGACTGGAAAGGCTACATCACGCAACACTATGCCACAGCTTGTGCAGTCGTGGTCTTGCAATGATCCTGTGAAATGCCTGCAACTCCTGACGACGAGTAGTATTGATAGCTTCCAGTGCATTGGTCTGATAGGACGAGCCTGCACTTTTTGTGTGAACTAAACCCTAAACCTCATACCATAGGGGCCTGAAAATGATTAGAATAGGATGTGGGGTGTATTATACTACCCTTATAATACGGAACCCCCAGAACCCTATTCTAATTATTCAGGCCTCTACATTACACCCCGGACCAAGGCTTAGTTTGCGACTGTGCCGCGCACGGCGACATTGATGGTCGACGGCTCAGTACTTAGAGGCCCAGGGGACTTGGTAAGTCGGTTATAAGTCAGGTTATAATTAGGATAACTCCATTTAGGGTACTTATAACTCTACTTATAATCTACTTACTAAGTCCCCTGGAGCTCCAAGTATGTATGCGCCGAGGGGAGCCCCGGTTCTCTCAGGGGCTTTGGGCTCTGGAGCTTGTTTGTGTTTTTCTGATGTTACGGTATGGCGTTTGGAAGTGGGTGGGACCATGAGGTCGTCGCATAAGGGATGTGGGCCCAGTGGTATGGAACTTCTGCTTGGCGCAGCATCATCACCCTCAGAGTTTCTCGGGTTAAGGGCTTTGAGCGGTGGTGTTCGGGTGGTGGCCTCTTTTGTCAGTGACCACGCTCATTCTTCTGAACGCTTGTCAGTGTCCTGAACTCTAGCTACTTTGTGCCTAGGCATCCGGATCTTGCTCGAAGCCAAGGCAGATCCAAACGAATCTGGGTTTCATATAATATATATCTGTATATATATATATATTCATAATATAATATGTATCATACACATAATATATAACATATACATACATATATATATATATATGTATAATAAATTATATATATATATATATAGTTGGTCTCTGGATCTTGGGCCTCCTGCTTGCCCTCGGTATTGCATTCGGTAGCCTTAGAAGACGAGCGGGAAGGTTTCAAACCTTAAACATTTAATGCTACAAGGTCGTACCATCGGATTCTGGAATTCGCATTTTGCAAGGGACGGGGAGGGTAAAAAAGGACTTCCGTACATCCTGCTGTCTTCCGCACTTTGGTTATGGTGAAGATCTCTAGGTCGTCACGGAAGCCGCCGTCGGCACAGTCCAAGTTGCAATCGTAATCGCAGCAATGGCGGTAGTACCTAGTAGTAGTAGTAGTAGTAGTAGTAGTAGTAGTAGGGGTAGTAGTAGTAGGGGTAGTAGTAGTAGTAGTAGTAGTAGTAGTAGTAGTACGTAGTAGTACGTAGTAGTACGTAGTAGTACGTAGTAGTACCTAGTAGTAAGTAGTAGTAAGTAGTAGTACTAGTAGTAGTAGTAGTAGTCGTCGTCGTCGTCGTCGTAGTAGTAGTAGTAGTTGTTGTATCAGGAGTACGGAGGAGGAGGAGGACGAGTCGTTTGTAGTCGTAGCTCTAGCATGCTTATTCATTTGATTTTTCTTCCTTTCGTCACGAAGGGGCAACACCGAACCGCCCGTGGCCACAATTGTTGCCAAGCCGGCCTCCGAGGTCAGTTGAGGGCTCTAAGTGCATGGTTTGAAGAGTTTAGGTCCTGGGGCTTGTATGGTTACGGGTTTGCGTTTTAGGGTTTGTTGGCCTTCGGGTTAGATATTCTTGGGTTGAAGGGTTTGGGCAGGCTTCGGGCTTGCAGAGCTTGGCCATTTTAGGGTCTGTAGAAGGCTTCGTGGTTTCCGCATGGGGGTTCAAAGCCGGGACTGTAGAGTTTGGTAACACATTCGTTCCAATCTCGTCGGCGCGTATGGTCCTTGAGCTCTCTGCGTTCTAAGCCCAGAAATAGAATCACTTAGCGCACTTCCGTAGGAAAGCAAACACCTTCCACGCCCTGACGCTGCGGATCCAGCTACCAAGCGCACCTGATCCGACACCCTGGACCCCGCTCGATCTCCCGCCTGATCGCATCCCAAGGCCATGATATGGAACTTAGCCAAGCATATCAACCGGTTTGTGCTTCCACGCTAGTCCGTCGAGCCGAAAGCCGTGTATTTTGAGGTTCTCGAAGCTTCACAGGTTTTCTCCCCGAAGCATGCTTCAACACCCAAATCTTCCTGGCCCGAAGCCCCAAAGTCCAGACCGCAAACCTAAACCCTCCAAGCTCTACGCTCAAGATGCCGACCCGAAGGTGTCCGACGACTTTTCCAGTGACTGCGAGCACCTGTTCCATCCCCTTGTTGCTGCTGACACTTAGATGAGCTGTTTACGTGCAGCACACGAATGGGGAACAGCAAGACTTAGCAACATCCGTTTTCTAGTCCCTGTATCAGTATTGCAGAATGACCCCCTATCACCACAACCACCACCACCATGCACTATGGGGGTCTGGACATGGAAGCCCCTAAATTCGAATGGTTATCGGACACTGGCGGATCCAGCACGGTCTTTGGGCTCCTAGTCTGGATACCGATCGGTTTTTGCTTTGCCACGTGGGCCATGGTGTTGATTTGGGGGTCTGGGTTTTCTCCAAATGTCTTGCAACTACTTGTTTGGCATTGGGGAGCAACCCGACTCGGTGCGCTGAGACTGCTACTGCTACTGCTACTGCTACTGCTACTGCTACTGCGACTGCGACTGCGACTGCGACTGCGACTGCGACTGCGACTGCGACTGCTACTGCTGCTACTGCTACTACTGCTGCTACTACTACTACTACTACTACTACTAGTGCTACTACTACCACTACTAGTACTACTAGTCGGGGATGGCAGGATAGCCTCCATAGATGAAGCCCGACAG